GGACTTTTAACAAATCAGGACTGTCTGTCAAGGTGGTCCTTAACTTATGTTGAGGTTGTATAACATTTCTCAACGTTTTGCTCGGGACAGAATCCACTCTTTTCCTAACGCTACTGACGACTTTCCTCTACGTGCCAGTACAGCTCACAATTTTAGAAGCATCTATTCCGCATGCTCAATGCGCTTTACAGTTATTGTCATCCCAGCTGACCCTTGAAGACCCAGAGACAGTCTCGACTTCTCGGGAAGCAGACTGTACAAGCTGCGTATTACACGCGCTCAGACATTAAGAAACTGTCAAGACATTTGCTGTCTATATCCAGGTGCCAATTCCCTCTTGGGTGAAATGAGGAATATTCGTGTAAAATGTCTTTCCCAAGAACACAATATCGGCCCCCTGGTTGGATTTCAACCAACGACCTTTTGGTTGAGAATCCAAGAGCCTAAAAAAACAGGTCATTTCTCAGATGTCACAACAACAGGTGAATAAACAACAACAGGTGAATAATATAATAGGCTCTGAGCAGCATTATTTTAGAATGGGAGTTTCATTTATTGGAACAACTGAAGTCCCACTAGGCAAACCAATAGCTCAAAAACTTAAACTAGTACAACATTGACCCTCGACTTCGCTCCACAACTTTAGAAAATTTGAATGGATCTAAAGATTGTTAATGTAAGTATTTCACGCCCTCGGTGTTTTCTCGTCGTATTTCCATTTTTTTTACTATAAAAATGTGACATCTTCTTAAGCTCACGCTTTGTTATGGACTGTTTTTACTGTTAGTAAAAATGGAGATAAGACAAGAAAGCATTGTGGTCCCGATTTTTACGTTCTTATTAACACAATTTAGAACACCTAGGAAGCAGGCTTCCGATCCTGCCTGTCAGGACCAACATGGGCGGAGAGGGATACAATATCCCAGCAGAAAGACCGAGATATCGATACCCCCCCCCCTTTTTTTCCCACTAAGGAATCGAACTTGAGCCTCCCTTGTACGACAGCGAAGCTCCTAACAGCTACACCACAGACGGTGGTTCAGTTTTTAAAAATAATTCTGTGTTGAAACGGCCAATAAACCTTTGCAATACTTGGGCTCTTCATAAAACAAGATGGCACAAACAGGGAATGCTCTCTTTTCTGAAATCCCTCCCTCCCTGTATTTTCTGACCACTCAAGAAGGCCACTGTAAAATCATACCGTAAAGTTTCTCTCTGTCTCTGCCATGTTACGTGGTTCATCATTCCC